CTCCCTCCTACCCTCTTCTTTTCTTTTCCACAGGTAATTTAATTAGCTTTTGATTTATCTCTCTTTTGTTTTTTTTCTTTTAAATGGAACCAAATGTGTGCACTTATATATTTGTATTTCTTTCTTAGATAAACACATGCATATTATTCACACTGTTTGGCACCCAGCTTTTTCATTTAATAATATTCCCTGGAGATCATACCATAATAGTATATTAAAAATTCCTTATTATGGGGCTGGCCCCGTGGCCGAGTGGTTAAGTTCACGCGCTCTGCTGCAGGTGGCCCAGTTTTTCGTTTGTTCGAATCCTGGGCGTGGACATGGCACTGCTCATCAAACCACGCTGAGGCAGCGTCCCACATGCCACAACTAGAAAGGACCCACAACGAAGAAGACACAACTCTGTACCGGGGGGCTTTGGGGAGAAAAAGGAAAAAAAAAAATTCCTTATTGGGATCTGTTTTTTATCTGGCATGGGATTACCATCATGCATGTAATATAAATTTGGACCCCAAACCTATCCTTAGGCTTTGCTCTTTCATGGGAACCTTTTTTCCTACCTAGAGTTTTTGGCAGAGAACCAGCTTCCTTGCTACTCTCCTGGGCTTGTGAGCAGAGATTTGTTTTTGTTTTTAACACCCCTTTTTATGGAATAAGTAATCTTTTGATTATCTGAACTTTTTACTTGGGTATCTCAATTATTGCATTCTAACTCGCCTACTTTTGTGGGCCTCAAACCATTTTTTCTGTAGCTACATATGGACCATAAAACTTCAGCTACTGGCTCTTAGGCCCTGTTTCTACTCTGTACTTCCCTAAGTTGTCATAATGTCAGTTTGTACTCTTGTAACTCTGTCTCTGAGTTTCCTCTTTGTTTCTGGAGCCTGGGTATTTCTAAGCTATTTATGAATTTTTTGTTTGTGTTTTATTCAGCATTTCTTTGTGTTTGGAGCAGGAGCAGCTCATTTTGTCGTGTTGCTGGAAGTAGATCAATAACATTTATTTTCTATCACCCATTCCCATCATCCCTTTACTGGAGTTAACTGGTTGAAGGAACACACACGCGTGTTCACACATATGAAACAATTTTATAGGATATATCTTATAACTAAAATTATGATCTTTCCTACCAAACCTACTTCTCTTTATTTCACTTGAAAAGATTATTGATCTGTAATAGTTATTTTCAGGTGTTTTTCAGTACATTCTTTTCCTTTTTCTCCTCTCTACTTCACTTCTTTTCCTGTTTTTTCCTGTTTTTCTAAATCAAACAAAAATTTATGAAGGGAACCCAGGTCAATTCATCTTAGTGCTTTTTTCAAAAGGACAATACATAAAGTCATAAGGCTTTTAGACAACAACATGACAGGGAATATAAATTCTTTTAGTAGAATACAAAAAAATTACCTAGGTATAATTAGTGGACACTAGTGCCAATTCTTAGTTCAGGATATTTTTTGTCTTTGAAGAGCCTTTATCCGATGACATTCATTCCTGTTGATTTCATGTCTTTGTTTCACTTGTGCTGCCCTCAACTTGTGTCTGCCCTGTTGCTTTCTTCTACACTCCTCTATTTGCAGTGTGGGTGTTTCATTAAAACTGTATCTGGTATTGGCATGCCTCATAGAGGAAGTTTTGTATTTCGTACATTTCAACTAGATGTTTTGCTGTGCAGTTTTGCAAGTTAAATATGGAGACAATGTTAATATGCAGTAAATAGGTTGGAAATGTACAAGTCATAGTCAAATCTTCAGATCCCTCAAAGAGATCTGTAGCTTTCAGAAAAATTCTCTTTTGGAGATGACATATTTACTTGGAACTTTGAGCAGAGGTAAGAATTTTGCAAAAGTGTGAAAAAAATTGTTTCAACCATTTTTGCATTTTTAAGTGATAAAAATAATTGTAATTTCATTCCTACTTGTTTTCTGAGATCATATTATGTATAATGTTTTAACCAGAGAGAAAAACAATGCAAGAAATACTATTAAATCTTTCTTTACACTGCTTTGTTGTTCCAAGAAAAGTTATTTTTCAGGATACCCCTCCAAATATTATCATTATGGTTTTCTTTTTTTGTTATAAGACTTATTTTTAAAGAAACTCTGAAGCATAATACTTCTTCGGTTATTTTTAAAAAGAGCAGTTAGAAAATCCAGTGTAAAAATGACATGTGCTATTTAAACTTGTGCATTGATCAGCAAACTTAAAACTGAAATGTTTTCTAATTGACCCTTGATTCAAATTATGTGAAATCATGCAGTATAGACATTTACTGACATGTTTAGTGAAAACATGAGGAATGTGAGAAAGCTACTGAGAATCTTAACATTGACTTTTCCTGATATTTCAGGCTATTACATTTGCTATAATTTTCTTCACACATTCTTGATGTCATCTCTGTCAAAATTACATCATCTCAGACTTATAAATATGTATTACTTTAAATGTACTTGAATATAGTATATGTGTTTAAGTATGAATTTTTAGGAGACAATAAAACACACGTCAATTAATAAGTAAAAACAGGTTTCAACAAGTTAACAATCCAAGATCCTCTAGTTGTCACTGTTCTACAGTGATGTGGAATTAAGAGAGAAAGCTCAATTTTCTATCTAATTGAATATACCAAATCAGGCTCTTTCATCCATATATTTAGAACAGGAGCATGTCTTTTCTCAGAACCTGTAAACCAATTAGTTGAAAGATTAACAGCTGGGTGAAGAGAACACAACCTTATATTTGGTGTCAGGCAGCCAGAGTTTTAATCACGGCTCTGGTGATGAGGAGAGTGGGAAGATTTGCCTTTCACTCAGCAACTTAAACAAATACAGCATAATATCTGCACTGCTATCCAAGTCACCTCCTGCTTCAGCAGTCGTCATGCACGTCCTACACATTGCATTAATAGAAACTCAGCCAGAAGGCTGGGCTTTGAGTTACTTGGTATCTATCACAGTCTATGGGGATGACTAGATAAAGCTACTAATCACTGAGGCATGTGGAAGAACTATATCTTAAAACGGAAAAAGGAGTCTACTGAGTGTCTTGCAAAAATTTAAGAAAGGGCTACATTTTAGAAGTCCACTCATTTGGACAGGGTATTTCTGTCACTGGATTTCTTCTCATGTAGTTTTCTCTGTATCTAAGCTGCCCTATTGAAAATTGGCACCATTTCATGTAGATATGTGTATTCACTGTAAAGAGGAAGCTAACTAAAGCAAATGCTTAGTGACCTATGTACCTGCGTATAGGATATTTTTCTTTTGCTGGCAAGGAAGTAACTGTCTCTTTACCATGCACCTCGGGAGGTTAATCCTATAAAGGGATCAGAATCAGGAGAAACCTTGTGCTTTGAGATACCAAAGATGAATATTCAATTAACAAGAACAACAAGAGAAAAATATGACAAAAGTCATGGTATGTAAATTAAGAATGCCTGGGAGCAATTACTTTACGTGGCAAAGCCAGAAAGACATTAAAAACACCTTGTTTTCAACTCATGCACAAATAAATGTAGAAAACATATTGATCTGTTTAACAGTACAAACAAACATTTTCCATAATGAATATATTAAAAGAGGATGTTTAACTATTTCGGAAGTCTCAAGGTAGGTAGACATGATAGAGAGAGAAGGGAATAACAGCAGAGGTACTTGAATAAAAGTGATTCTGACTAAGAGGAGGATTCCTCCCACCAAGACCAAGCCATGCCATGTCCCCAATTCTGATTTGAATTGAATAGACTTCTTGCAAAAATACCTTTTCCCTGGGGGTTGGCCCCGTGGCCGAGTGGTTAAGTTCGCACGCTCCGCTGCAGGTGACCCAGTGTTTTGTTGGTTCGAATCCTGCGTGTGGACATGGCACTGCTCATCAAACCACGCTGAGGCAGCGTCCCACATGCCACAACTAGAAGGGCCCACAACGAAGAATATGCAACTATGTACTGGGGGGCTTTGGGGAGAAAAATGAAAAAAATAAAATCTTAAAAAAAAAAAAAGCCTTTTCCCTGGTCTCTAGAATTCATAGGATGGGCTTAGTTAGCTTTAACAGTTAATTAGTTAACTGTTAGCTGTGAGTTAGTCTTTTCCTCACAGACAAGCATGCTTGATCAGAGCAAGACATAAACAGAATGCTTTGCTAATTATTTATGTAAAGATAAAGATGAAATGTGGGTTTTGTGTTTATTTTATATTACTGTCTATGAATGAATAAAGGAATTCAGAGTTTCTTTTTATTTGTTTAACTTTGATTTTATTAACTTTCAGGGATAGCTAATAATGATATTTGAAAAATGGATACTTAGTCTTGAAGAAGTAATTCATTCATTTTTTTCCTCTTCTAATCTTTCGGCGTGGGGATGTTGAGTTTTTTCTTCTTGTTCACACTATAGTCATGGTGTTTAACAATAATACCCTCTATCTTTTACAACAATTTTGAGAAACGTATACTGTATTTAGTTTATAGTATCCCCAAAACATTCTTTTCCTAGTTATAAAGTTGTAAAACAGATTCAGAAAATTTGTTTGAGGAGAGCATTTCCAAAATAATTCATAGCTAGTTGAGTTAGTAGTGTTTTGAAATAAATTTTTCTCTTAAAACTTAGATGCCCAATAATAGCCATATTTGTATATACAAATATAATTTATTACAAAGTTTTATATAGTAAGTGTATTTATATATTAAAGAGTAAAAAATTTGGAATAAATTATTTTTTCCAAATAGCATAAAAAGGTAGGTATTATTTTAGGATTCTTAATTTACCTCCATTACATGATCTTAACCAAACCTGGGTTCTTCTGTCTCTTGGTGAAAACTTTGTAAACATGTAAATTTCATTATAGAAATTGTGCACTTCTAAGGCTCACATCTTAGAATTTTGGAGAGGTTCTCACTTTATTTGCCTTTTCCTCATGCACTTGGTCGTATTTTCTCACTTTAAAATAATTGTAGTTTAATGCTAGATTTGGATGGATAATTGTACTTTTCTTTTTCTTCATAAGACAAAAGTCAAGCATTAGAGAAGAGATTGAAATAGAAGAGACTGAAGTCCCGAAAAGAAGAGCCACATATATGAAACCCTGCGGAGATTCTAGCTTAAATCCATGTAAATATAATATCACTATTGGAAAAATGCATGGTGTTTGAAAGAAAACCACACAAAAGCTTGTAAGCAGTTATTTAAGTAGACCACACAATATGTGACCTTTTGTGTCTGCTTTCTTTCACTTAGCATAATGTTTTTCAGGCTCATCTAAGTTGTAGCATGTGTCAGTACTTCATTCCTTTTTATGGCTGAATAATGTTCCATTGTACACACACACACAAACATACACAGGCACACACACACACCTACATACCCCAATTTGTTTATCCATTTATCCACTGATGGGCATTTGGACTGTTTCTATCTTTTGACTATTATGAATAATGCTACTATAAACAATCATGTACAAGTTTTTGTGTGGACCTATGTTTTTATTTCTCTTAGGTATATACCTAGGAGCAGAATTTCTGAGTTATATGGTAATTCTGTGTTTAGCTTTTTGAGGAACAGCCAAACTGTTTTCCACAGCAGCTGTACCATTTTACCTGCCCACTAGTAATGTACAAGGGTTCCTATTTCTCTACATCCTTCCCAACACTTGTGATTTATTATTATTTTTTTATTAAATCTATCCTAGTGGGTGTGAAGTATTTTCTCATCATGTGTTTCCTTAATGACCAATAATGTTGAAAATCTTTTCATGTGCTTGTTGGCTATTTGTGTCTTCTTTGGAGAAACGTCTATTCAAGTCCTTTGCCCATTTTTTAATTTGGGTTGTTTGTCTATTTGTTGAGTTGTAAGGGTTCTTTATATATTCTGGATATTAACCTTTAACAGATATATGATCTGCAAAAATTTTCCTCCATTCTGTAGGTTGTCCCTTCACATTCTTGATAATGTTCTTTAATGTACAAAAGATTTTGATTTTTATAAAATCCAATTTGTCTATTTTTACTTTTATTGCTTATGCTTTTGGTGTCAAATCTAAGAATCCATTGCCAAATCTGAGGTTATGAAGATTACTCCTGTGTTTTCTTCTGATAATTTTTAGTGTTTTCTTCTTTAGTTTTATTGTTTTAGCTCTTATATTTAGGTCAGCGATTTATTTTGAGTTAATTTTTGTATAATAAGTAAAGTCTGGGTCCAATTTCATTATTTGTCTGTGGTTATCTATTTGTCCCTGCACCATTTGTTGAAGAGACTATTCCTTATTTTTTTTTTTTAAAGATTTTATTTTTTCCTTTTTCTCCCCAAGCCCCCCGGTACATAGTTGTATATTCTTCTTTGTGGGTCCTTCTAGTTGTGGCATGTGGGACGCCACTTCAGCGTGGCTTGACAAGCCGTACCATGTTCGCGCCCAGGATTCAAACTGACGAAACACTGAGCTCCCTGCAGCGGAGCGCGCGAACTTAACCACTCGGCCACAGGGCCAGCCCCTTGAAGAGACTATTCTTGCCCTGTTGAATGGTCTTGTCAAAAATCAATTTGCCATACATGGTTGGGTTTCTTTCTGAACTCTTAATTCTATTCTCTTGGTCTCTGTACCTATCCTTATGTCAGTACCACACTGTTTTGTTTACTGTAGTTTTATTTTATAGTACGTTTTGAAATTGGGAAGTGTGAGTCTTCCAACAGTGTTTTATTTTTTCAATATTGTTTTGGCTGTTTGAGGTCCCTTGCAGTTTCATGTAAATTTGAGGAACTGTTGTTTACAATGTGCATTATTGTCATCTTGACAATGTTAAGTCTTCCAGTTCATGAACATGGGGTGTATTTTCATTTGTTCAGGTCTTCTTTAATTTCTTTCAGCAATGTTTTGTAGTTTTCAATGTATAAGTCTTTCACTTTCTTGGTTAAGTTTATTCCTGGGTATTTTATTCTTTTGAATGCTATTCTAGATGGAATTGATTTCTTAATTTCCTTATCAGATTGTTCATTCCTGCTGTAAAGAAACACAACTGACTTTTATGTGTTGATCTCGTACCCTGCAACTTTAATTAATTTGTTTATAGCTCTTGTAGTCTTTTTTGTGGATTATTAGGCATTTTGTATATATAGAATCCTGTCATCTACAAACAGATAGTTTTACTTCTTTTTACCTTTAGGAGGCATCATCAATTTAGATGCATTTTATTTCTTTTTCTTGATTAATAACTCTGGCTAGAACTTCCAGTACAATGTTGAATAGCAGTGGTGAAAGTGGGCATCTTTGTCTTGTTCCTGATCTTAGAGGGAAAGCTTTTATTCTTTCATTATGGAGTATGATATTGACTGTGGGTTTTTCATAATGCTCCTTATCATGTTAAGGAAGTTCCCGTCTATCCTAGTTTGTGTTTTTGTCATGAGAGGGTATAGAATTTTGTCAAATGCTCCTTCTGCATGTATTGAGATGATCATGTAGTTTTTTTCTTCATTCTGTTATTGTGGTGTGTATTACATAGATTTCTTTTCGTTTGTTGAACCACCTTTGCGTTCCTGAATTAAATCCCACTTGATCATGGTATATAATTTTTTTAATGTACTGTTGGATTTGGTTTGCTGGTGTTTTGTTAAGGAATTTTGTGTGTTTATTCATAAGAGATATTGGTCTGTAGTTTTCTTATGATGTCTTTGTCTGGCTTTGGTATTTGGTTAACGCTAAGGTTGTAAAATGTGTTAGAAAGTTTTCCCTCTGATTTTTTGGAAGAGTTTGAGAAGGAATGGTGTTAATTATTCTTTCTTTTATTTTCATTTTTTTATTGAGTTCATAATAGTTTACATCATTGTGAAATTTCAGTTGTACATATTTCTTGTCTGTCACCACACAAGTGCTCCCCTTCACCCCCTGTTCCCCCCCTCCATCCCCCGTCCCCTGGTAACCACTGAACTATTTCCTTTGTCCATGTGTTTGTTTATATTCCACATATGAGTGAAATCATATGGTGTTTGTCTTTCTCAGTCTGGCTTATTTTGCTTAGCATAATACCCTCCAGATCCATCCATGTTGTTGTAAATGGGATGATTTTGTCTTTTTTATGGCTGAGTAGTATTCCATTATATATATATATATACCACATCTTTTTTATCCAATCATTAGATGATGGGCACTTGGATTGTCTCCCTGTCTTGGCTAATGTGAATAGTGCTACAATGAACATAGGGGTACATATGTTATAATTATTCTTTAAATATTTGATAGAATTCACCACTGAAGCCATATGGTCCTGATTTTTCTTTATTGGGAGATTTTTATTATCTGATTCATTTTCTTTACTTGATATAGGTCTGTTAAGATTCCCTACTTCTTCTTGAGTCATTTTGGTAATTTGCATGTTTCTAGGAATTTGCCCATTTCATTTAGATTTTCTAATTTGTTGGTATAAAATTGTTCATGGTAATTTCTTATAATTCTTTTGATTTCTGTAAGGTCAGTAGTAATGACTCTGCTTTCATTCTCTTATTTTAGTTATTTGCATCTTCTCTCTCTCCTTTTTTTTAGTGAGTCTATCTAAAGATTTGTCATTTTTATTGATTTTTTTCCCCAAAGAACCAACTTTTGGTTTCATTGATTGTATTGCTTTTCTCTATTTTGTTTATCTCTGCTATAATCTTTATTATTTCCTTCCCTCTGCTGGTTTTGGGTTTAATTTGCTCTTTTTCTATTTCCTTAAGGTGTGAAGTTGGGTTGTTGACTTGAGGTCTTTTTCTTTTTTTTTTCCCCAAAGATTGGCACCTGATCTAACAACTGTTGCCAATCTTTTTTTGTTTTTTTTTGCTTTTTCCCCCCCAAATCCCTCCAGTACATAGTTGTATATTTTAGTTGTGGGTCCTTCTAGTTGTGGCTTGTGGGACACTGCCTCAATGTAGCCTGATGAGTGGTGCCATGTCTGTGCCCAGGATCCGAACCAGTGAAACCCTGGGCTGCCGAAGTGGAGCGCGCGAACTTAACCACTTGGCCATGGGGCTGACCCCTGAGATCTTTTTCTTCTTAATGTAGATATTTACAGCTATAAATTTCCCTGAGAGCACTGCTTTTGCTGTATCCCCTGAGTTTTGGTGTGTTGTGTTTTTATTTGCATTTATCTAAAGCTATTTTCTAGTTTTCCTACTGATTCTTTCCTTGATCTATTGGTTGCTTAAGAGTGTGTTATTTGATTTCTGTGTATTTGAGAGTTGTCCACTTTTCCTTCTGGTATTGATTTTTAGCTTCATTTCCTTGTGGTCAGATATGATACTTTGTATAATTTAAGGATTTTTACATTTGAGAATTGTTTTTTGGCCTAACATATGGTCTATTCTGAGGAATGTTTCACATGCTGTTGAGAAGATTATATATTCTGCCATTGTTGGGTGGAGCATTTTGTATATGTCTGTTAGGTCTAGTCGGTTTATAGTGTTGTTCAAGTCATCTATTTCCATACTGACCTTCTCTCTACATGTTCTATCCATTATTGAAAGTGGGCTGTTGAAGTTTCCAAGTAGTATTGTAGACTGTCTGTTTCTCCCTTCTGTTCTGTCATTGTTTGCTTCATATATTTTGAGACTGTTTTTTGGTGTGTATATGTTTATAATTGTTATATCTTCTTGATGAATTGATTCTTTTATCACTATAAAATGTCTTTCTTTGTCTCTTGCAGTAGTTTTTGCAGTAAAATCCATTTTGTCTGATATTAGTATAGCCAGGTTGGCTCCCCTTTGGTTACTATTTGCATGGAATATCTTTTTCCATACTTGTACTTTCAACCTGTCTGTATCTTTGTGTCTAAAGTGAGTCTCCTATAGGCAGCACACAGTTGTAGTATGTTTTTTCAAAAAGTTCAGTCTGCCAGTATCTGTCTTTTAATTGGTGAGTTTAAGCCACTTACATTTAAAGTGGTTACTGCTAAGGAAGGACTTATTTCTGCCATTCTGCTCTTTGTTTTCTATGTGTTATGTCTTTTTTGTTCCTCAGTTCTTCCAATACTGCCTTCTTTGTGTTTGATTGATTTTTTTCTAGTATACCATTTTGATTCCCTCTTCATTTCTTTTTGTGTATATTTTTAGTTATTTTCTTAGTGGTTACCATGGGGATTACAGTTAAC